TCTTCATTATTTAAATTTTTTAATCATCTGGGACATCCTTTGGTGCATAATATGACAGATTTAACTTTGTATGTTCCCAGTTATCCCATCTCCACTTATAGAACATCCTTTCATTCCTTGTGAATTAAATGCTGCTATTTTATAACCTAAACCTATTTCTTACTTCTGTTTCTGAACTTTCTATTCTCTTCTGTGAATTTTCCATCATTTCTTTTGCCACCATCGCCCTTGAGAATTATTGTAGCTCTGTTATGTATTTTGCCATCAACAAGGCAGGTTTTCTCTCTTCTTCTTTTATTGAATTTCCTGAACTTTGGTATGACCTTATTTCCCAAGATTCTCTCCTGTGCACCTTGTCCAGGTCTCTAACTTTGCTGGTCTATAGGAAATCTATTAATTTTGCTCATTTGGGAGGGCAGTAGGCTAGCTTACTGAACATTTTTGTTAAGTTCTAATTAATATCTTTCCATTGGTTCACTCGGATTTTATACAGGTATCATCTGCAGATAATGGTTGATCATTTTGATTTTTTAAAGCTATTTATCGTTCTTATTTCTTGCCCTGGCTTTGTACTGGCTAAAACTTCTCAAAATGTGTAGAATACTCTTAGAGGTCCCCTTGGCCTTGTGCGTCCCTAGGCATGAACTTGTACCGTGTGCTGCGCCCAGCCTCCCTCTAGTCTCATCTCTTTCTCCTTGGAAGACCTTACTAGGCCCTCTGGGAGGGGCTTGCATAGCTTAGTCCCTTCTGGATTCTTCTGGGGTCTGCCTGTCTGAGGAGAGGGTCGTCTTGGTTTCTCTGCGTCCTGAGAAGGGTCAGTCCTGGTGGGCGAGGTGGGGAAGGAGGCTCAGGGCTGCCAATGATGTGTGTGGTGCCTGATCCAGGGATTGAGGGCAAGCTCCTCTGGCTTCCAATCTGAAGACACCTGCTTCGGTGGCCTTGTCAGTCATGAACCCCTCTGAGCCCCTCTGTCTGACGCCTCCTCTCAATTGATTCCAAAATGAAACAGAGAAGAAGTGACCATAGCTGGCTGGACTGCATTGGCCTTGGCCATAGTAACCATCTGTGTCTCAGCATTAAATCTGGCGTTGGTTGTTGCCTTTAGAAAGAAGGTCTCTATCATGTAAGAGAGCATCCTTTTGAGAAGTTCCCAGCTGGTGCCCTCAGGGGCACGCCCGTGGGCGCTGCACAGCTCGCAGACTTCCACACCAGTCTGACCTCGTGGGCAGTAAAGCACGCGACATTAAAACTTCCACAAAATACTCGTGCTTCTCGGTGGGGATCTGTGTTATCGGTCCTCTACCTAAACACATCTGTGAACATAACCTGACATAAGTCACAATCAATATGTCACTGAGAATACGTGAACTAGGGGACCCTCCGATGATTGCTGAAAAATTAAAGCAGAACAATGAAGTGACCTCTATCTGCCCCAGGGAAAGCCGGGAACCGCCTGCCATTGATTGCTTCAATGTATTCCGCACCTTTCAAGGACAATCGCAGAAGGAGAAAGTCAAATATAAGATTTCTAAGAAGTGGAGGGGGAAATATTGGTGCCGTGGGGGAGGGGAGGATCCCCATGAGCTAATCAAACAAGAAAAGATAAAGAAATAGAGATTAGAAGATTTCACACTGGAATAGAGAAATTCATGTTGCCTTAAATATAATTTGTGTTAGTTACATTTCAATTCCTAATTTATACATAGCAGGGTTGATAAAGAATTGCATTATAACGAAATTAGCCGGAATAATTAGCATAGCGTATGTGCCTCTGATTAAACACCCAGCAGATCGCTTGGTAATTAAGATCAGCGAGCGCCGCTGTTCCAGGCTTTGTCATCTTATTATCTGCCTCACAAGTGCTTCCTCTTCACCTCCCTTCTGATTTGAAGTTGGGTAGCAATCGCTAACCATCCCCGGTTTATTTCTTTAAATTACCTTGCCCAACTCCGACCCTTTTCCCGTGGTCACTGCTCCCCCTCTCTTTGTGTTTACACCAATGTGCTGGTGTCAAATTTCTCTCTAAGGTAAGGCATGCGATGCTGCAAAGCAAAGCATCTGTGCTTGTAAATTCAGGTTCAAAACTATCTCTCAACACCCATCATTCTTTGGCTGAAGAGAGAACCAGGGGCCAGCCACACTCTCAGCAAGCTGGCCTAATGCCTGAACCGAAGACTGAGCCAGCGGGTTCATCTCTCTTTTCCAGGCTGAGCCAGCGGCCAGTGATTCCAGGAACGTGGCCATCTGGGGTTGTTTTCCATCCCTGTGACACTGGAAGGCAGTCCCTCAGGGGCCTGGCTGCCTGCTCACTGATGATCTCAGGCCGCGGCCATCGTTCCTCCATTCAGGGACTCTGGGGCTGGCTGCTGTCCCTGTACCAACAGTGAGATAATCATGGAAGGCAGGAGTCCCGTAACCAAAGCATGGAAACCTCGGGGGATTAACTCACATTCTCAGCACAGGCTGAGCCAGCTCTGCGGCCTCTCTCTAGACTGAAGCCAGGACATGTCCAGGACATGTCCATGATTTTAATGGCAGCGTGAACAGAGTACCCTCCCAGCCAGGAACATCTGCCACTGCACTCACAGTGAGCACCTGGACAGTTCTCTCGGGATACAGACAAGAAGTCCAGTGGTTGGCAGCCCAGAACCGGGACAAAGGTTCAGAAATGTCATCGAGGAGCCATCTCGCCCCCTCTTTCTGCCCCACTCTCCTTAGGTAGTGATCCTCCATCTCAAGTGTGTCACCTCATCACTGTGATGGGGCTGCCCCAGCTCCACACACCATGCCCAGGCCCGAGGGAAGAAGGAAGGGAAAGGGAGGTGCCAGCCATGATGTCCCTTTCCATCAGGAAAGCAGAAAATCCCCCACAGGCACCAGAGCAGGCCATGCCCACTCTCACTGGCCAGAACTGGGTTGCAAAGGAGTCTAGGACTGACACTACTGACTTACTTCAATATCATTTATCACAGCAGCCGGGCATGTTGTCACAGCAAGGAAGACCCAGGCTCTGTGAGGTAGGAGGAAAGAGAGCAGACATAGATAGGAGCCCAGGGCTAGCTCCTCAAATGCAGGTGCCAGACATGTTGCAAAAAGTGTCAATGTTTGGAACAGAACCTGCATAGAGGCACCTGGGAGCTGGGAGAAGGAGGGGAGTATTAGAGAAAAAGAGGCTTATTTTAAGGAGTTGGTTCATGTAACTGTGGAGACTGACAAGTCTAAAACCTGTGGGGTAGCCAGCAGGCTAGAGACCCAGGAGAAATTGCAGTGCAAGTCCAAAGGCCCCCTTGCTTGGGAGGCATCGGTCTTTATCCTATTCAGGCCTTCGACTGATTGGATGAGGCCCACCCACATTATGGAGTGTAATCTGCTTTACTCAGAGTCCACCAACTTCAATATTAATTCCATCCCAAAGAAACACCTTTGCAGAAACATCCAGGATAATGTTTGGCCAAATATTTGGGCACTGTGGCCCACCCGGGTTGACACAAAATTAACCATCACAAGGGGAGATGAGGAAAGGAAGAGGTGGTATGATAGGGGTGCATGGTAGAGGAGGCTCTATAAAAGCCACATGAGGAATGGAAATGTTTTTAAGGACACAAATTGGCAACTAGCAGATAAATAAGACCTAGGGAGTTAATGCACAATGTAGTGACCATAGACAACAATATCCTATATAATAAAAGCCTAATATGCTAAGTGTCTGGTCGTCCATTCAACCAATCAAAGAATAATATGTTAATGATATGCTAAGGCCACTCAACCACTCGCTATGATGTGCACTGACCACCAGGGGCAGATGCTCCAACTGGCAGATTAGCTTGCTGCTGGGGCCCAGCAGATGGGGACTAAGCGAGATGGGCCAGACACGCCCTGGAGCCCTCCCATGGTCCCTCCCTGGCTGGCCAACCTCCCGCGTCCCTTCCCGGCCCTGATCATGCACCGGTGGAGTCCCTCAGCCTGGCCTGCACCCTCTCCTAATCCAGGCTGAGGGATCCCCCCCTCCCCCCGCACAAATTTCCTGCACCAGGCCTCTAGTTGTATTATAAACACCAATCTTGCTGAGAGACTGGACCCTAATTATTCCCACCACAAAAAAGAAACAATAACCACATGGGGTGGCAGAGGAGCTAGCTAGCACTACATGGTGATCATATTGCAACATGTAAATGTACCAAATAAACATTACTGCACAGCTTCAACTTACGCAATGTTGTATAGCAAATATATTTCAATTCAAAAAAGAATCCAAAAGTGTATTAATTTCTTGAAAGCTATATGGTGCAGCCTGGGCCCTCAGGTCACCACAAAATACAGGGAAGTGCTGGGGCAGCTGGGCTCTGTGCCCCGGTTAATGTGGGGGTCCAGGACCAACAGAAATAGAGGTCATGAGAAAAAAGCCTCCAACCCCCCCCCCCCCCGGAATGCACAGAGACCACACGAGGGGCGTTGTACTCCCACGGTGGTGGAATCGGGTACTTTAAGCCAAGTTACCAGCCCTGAGGGGTGTGGAGACATCGCCAACACATAGGTTACTCTTTCCTGCTCACTTACGTGGTGCGTTAGTCTTTTTGACACCAGCCAGTCGGTCTCTGAATTTGGAAACCAAAGATTTCCCTACATTCTCTCCAGTTCAGCGTGTGTCCAGTTTATAGCCAGGCCGACGCTCCTTTCAGATGAAGCGAGGAAGCCGTCGGTGGACCTGCTGAAGTGCCCCTTCCGCAGAAGGAGGCTCCAAGCCCAGTCTTTAGAGCTTCAGGTAGAGTCTCTCTTGATCAAAGCAGACGGGGTCTAACAGCACCGGTGAGAGCTTCCTTCTCAGATATGCCCCCTCTTGTCCCCGACCCCCTCACCAACACATCTACTGCCCCTCTCTAGAACAGCCTCTCCTGGGGCCTCAGGGAGATGAATCCCGCCTCCCTGTGAAGGAGGGGGAGGAGGGGGTAACGCAAGCCTGTTTCTTCTATTTATAGCGTCCCCACACCACAGCTGCTAACTCTGGACTCGGCTGAGCAGAAAAGAAGCTTGGTCAACACGCAGACGCCATTACAATGTCCAGCTCTGATTGCCTCCCCGACCACCCGCTCAGCTCAGACTTGGTGAGGAGGCTGAAGTCCGCGCTGGACGCCAGGGATGAGGAGACGGTGCGCGACGTGATCTGCACCCAGGTCAGGCACGTGGACGCCGTGATAGAACTGGCCAACGACGACTGGATGAAAGACCCCTCGGCCCAGCTGCCCCCCGGGGTGCTCCTAGGTAACCAGTCTCCTGTGCTTGAAACTATACCCATCACGTGTGCGTGTGACATGACGCAGGTGAGCCATTCCCGGAGCTGGGAGGGAGGACGGTTGAAAAAGCAAAGGACAGTTCTTGGCTGTGTGATTCTTACACCCCTACACGCACACGTGCAGCATAGACTGTGGATATCCACGTGTGACACAGGCAACCGTTAGAGCCCCATACAACACGCTGAAAAAGAGAAAGGTGAGCCCAAGGCACCACCATCCTAACACGGGGCCTGTCTTCATTGCTGGTCCCTATGTAAGTCAACGGCCCTGCTCAGAACCAGGTTGGAGGTATAATCTTGTGTTCTGCTGCGTAGAGTTACTGTATCTAAAGTACTTTTCAAGGTGCTTCATAGTCATCTTAATCAATCACCGACTGAGGTGATTCATCACAAAATACGTAAACCAAATGCCTACAAGGGGGGAAGCTCTGTGTACATTGCTGCTACTATCAATACTGCTGCAATTAGCATCTTTACTAGCATGCCTAGGGCTTTTTTCTGATTTGGGTTATATTATATATTAGAAATTCCTGAGAGCCATCTGACTGCAACAAGGATATAAAGGCTTCCAACTTGTGCTCTGAAAGGACTCTATTCCCTCTGAGCATGAGTGCCCGTGTCTTGCCACACCCTGGACATTGCTGCTGCTGAAAGCTGGTACTGAACCTCCACTTTAATGTGTGCCTGGTCGTTCTCCGTGCCTGCTCACGTCCTTTCTCTGCTTCTCTGCTGCTCAGGACAGTCTTGTCCGCGGGGTTTTGTTTATCTTGGAGACCTCTTCACACGTGGCTTGTCTGTTCAGGTCCATGGGCAATAGCTCCCATTTCTTTGTATGCTTTTTGTCCCTTTTGAAAGACTTCTTCATATAACATATATATAAAATCACTCTGTCATACTCGCTGAAAATATTTTCCCTGACCTGAGGTTACTTTTAGTTGTATTGTGCTGTTTTCCAGCTGGTCAGATGTGCCCTCTGCTCACCTAGGCCAGAGTATACCCTGACCTTCCAGACCCACACACAGGGCCACCTCCCCTGGAAGGCCACTCCTGCTGACCCAGCCAGCAGACTCACCTCCTCCTTCACCAGAGCTTAACGCTCTCCGTCTCTATCAGTTACAGGAGCACAGGGCCTTGCTGGCTAATTTCTATAACCCACTGACTATTTCACACCCAAGTTCAGCCTCTGCAAGGGCAAGATCCTTGCCGAACCCTTGGTGGTATCCAGTCCCCGGCACGGAGTCTTCGTCCTGAGAAGGAGCTCAGACTCTGGGTGCCCCGCCTGGCACGGGCGGGCTAGCTCCTTTGTGATCATTTGGCTGAGTGGACACAGACTGCCTTTCCACAGGCGCTTCTGGGCCTAGTCTTTTGGCAAAGAACTATCTAGTTCTCCTTTCTGCTAATGCCAAGCCTCCGCTGCTTAATATCAGTGACAGTCGCATTGTTTGTCCTTGCCTCTCTTCTGTGCCTGTCAGCTCAGCAACCACTGAGAACACGGGGAGGGAGCAGGGACGGCTGGGGGAGGGGTGGCAAGACCCTTCTTGCCCCCAAATGCATCGACCGTACAATTTGGTAACCGGTGTAATCAAACTACTTAAGGAACAACTGATTACTAATTGCGATTATTAAGGATGTCAGCATTCCATGGTTTTGCTGCTGATACAGTATATACAAGTCAAGATGCTGCTTGAATTCTTGATGGAAATGGAAAACCAGGGGCATTGTGTTGTGTTTGGGGCAATGGTACTGAGCATCTGGAGGCAAGTTAAAGAAATGCTAATTGGATTTTTATTAAGAGATCTCACCCAGCAGCGTGGGTGGGTGGGGCATGAGCGTGTGTGAACACGTGACAGGCACATGTATGCACGCCAAGACCGGGTCATTTTTGGAATTCCATTTCTCATTCAACCTTCGCCCCAGAGGCTTGACGCTAAGCAGCCCTGACATTAGAGCCACAGCCATTGCTCCTGGCCTATTCGTGGGGAGGACCTTCGCCCGGGCGGACCAACAGTCAGATGTCAGGTACATGAGCACAGCTCCTGCCTTAGAGGACTCCGTGGCACCAATGACAAGAGCATGCCCACTGTGAGTGGCTCTGAGACATGAGTCGTAGTGGGAATGGCAAGAGAATAGCAGTGAAGTGACCTGGTTCTTGCCTTGATTCCACCACTTCCTGTATGGTCTTGAACCTACCAGTCCATCTCTCTGAACTAATTTTCTCATTGAAACAAATGGGCCAGCCCTGGCCAGTTGCTCAGTGGTTAGAGCATCTGTCCGCACATCAAAGGGTTGAGGGTTCAATTCCCGGTCAAGTGCACATACTTGGGTTACAAGTTGGGGGGGGGGGGATGCAGGAGGCAACCAATCAATGTCTCTCTCAATCAATGTTTTTCTCTCTTGCCCCCCTCCCTTTCTTCCTTCTATTCGTTCTAAAACTCAATGGAGGCCTAGAGGGTTGCTCAGTGGTTAGGGCATTGGCCTGCACACTGAAGGGTCATAGGTCTGATTCTAGTCAAGGGCATATACTTCAGTTGCAGGCTTGAGCCCCAGGCCCGGTCAGGGCACATGCAGGAGGCAACCAATCAATGTGTCTTTCTCACATGGATGTTTCTCTCTGTCTCTCCCCCTCCCTTCCACTCTCTCAAAAAATCAATGGGAAAAAATATCCTTAGGTGAGGATTAACAACAACAAAAACTCAATGGAAAAAAATATCCTTGGGTGAGGATTAACAAAAAAGAAAAAGGAAAAATGGGCCATCTCTCAGGGTCTTTACAAATCAGACCAGCTAGGGTTCCAGGTCCAATGACTCGTGTTTGAGGAGTGAACAAACCCCCGCTGCTTTTACAGGTGTGGTGCATCCGAACAAGCCTGTGTGGACCGGCCCCGCCTTCAAGGGCAGGCCAATTGGGCAGAGAAGGAACTGCCTAGAAGGCTGGGGAGACTGGTTTACGAGCTCCAATGCTCCAGATAAGCAACAGCATGGCCCAGGGCCAGCCCTGTCCTCGTCCTTAGGGAGAATAAGTCCCCAAAGCAGAACATGTGAGAAGTGGAATGAGCCCTGAGTGGAGGCAGAGTAAGGAATCACGGTTCAGGGAGGACTTGTCATCAACGTGCATTTCCCAAGGGGCTAGATGAGGCTCAGAGATGTTGCGTTACACCCTGTGGTCCCACAGCCGACAGGAGGTAGAGCCCAGTGCTCTTTGTGGTTCCCATGATGCCTGTAGTGTATCCTATGGCTGCGTTTTACAAGTGGGACATTGAGGCTCACATCTGTTCCCTTACTGATCAATAGCCAGTCAGGAGCAGCATGTTAACCAGGTGTGTTCCTGACTTGCAGTCAAGGGCTCTTGATACCCACCCACCCAGACACGTGTTGCAGGAGGACCCATGAAGAAATGTCCCCCGTGAACTGTGTACAACCCTTTGGTTTTACGTTATACATGCACACACATGTGTGTGTATTACATGTGCACCCATGCACACATGTATGCATGCAGGCAGGCACACGCATACACAAAATATCAATAACATGAGTCCCTGACTTCAAATAAGAGTATCAAGAAAAACATGAGTGTGAGTGGGGTGCTCAGCTGCAGAATAAAAACAGAAATGGGAGCAGGAGGCCATCAACGACAGGGAAAAAGAGAAAAGAAAGCTCTCAGCCATCTCGCCTGCACACCCTGAGCAAGGAATGTGGGGGCAGGGAGACCCTGCTCCAAGCAAAATGAAATTAAACCTTTCTAAGTACTTATAAATCAGCACCTAATGACAGTATCCCGCCACCAGCCAGAGCATTGCTCTTATTACTTTGATTCACAAGCCAGGAAAAGATCTGGAATTATGCACAAATTATTGTCCCATCTTCTTAATTAACACTGATTGCAAAATTCTTGCTAAAGTCCTTGCTAACAGACTCAATTATGCGCTGCCTGAATTGATTCACCCAGATCAAGTGGAATTTATTAGAAATACACTCTCCTACAATAACATCAGATTATCTTTGAATATAGTTAAATTATTTAGGAATAAAATGATTCCAGTAGCAGCCCTTGCTTTACATATAGAAAAATATCTCCCGCCACCTAGAATGAAGATGCTGCTTTTCTTCCTACCAAACACCCTGGGCTCTCTTTTCCCCAGAAGCAGGCTGAATCGCTGCGACGAGATGAGATGCCTGCCTTAGAGCTAATGGTCCAGCTTCAAAGCAGATGAGCAGGAAGAAAATCCTGCAGGGTTAAGGCTCTGCTCTCTCCAATCCGAACCCTCGCTGCCTAAGGAACACAGTGAAACTGCAATTAGACCAAATCAGGATATTTTCAGAATCAAAACTGAGAAACAAGCTAATAGAGAAGTAATGTTTGCTGATGACATACTTCTGTTAGCATCACTTCCAGGCTCGATGGAGAGGTGTGAAAGGACAAAAGGGAATGAGGGTGCAGTGCAGAGGCTGCCTCCCTTCCAGGGTGGCGGTGGCTCCTGCAGCCACGGGCTCTGCTTGGGACAAACACTCCAGGTGAACTGGGAATGGCAAACACTTCCTACAGCCTGGTTCTACCTCCCAATCCCATCGCCCTTCGTCTTCTAATGCCCAATCCAGCCACTGAATACTGGACAGGGACCGGGCGTGTCCTATTCACCATATCCTAGCACACAGTAGGTATATAATAAATATTAATAGGCCAAACAGTATATGGAGGACACTAAAAATCTCCTGGGTTGACCCTTCAAAGATGAGCGTGTTTTTAACAGTCTGCGATTGAAAGGAAGGGGCTCCTGCTAAAGGCAGCAGAGTGAACAGATGTGGGCATGCCACCTTGCACAAGGAAGTGGGCATGCCTGGGAATGGGGGGTGCAAATCAGAGGAGAGAGAGGAAAAGCCAGGCAAGTAAGTGGGGGCTGTATTGTGTGAGGTCACAAATTATAGACATAGGTAGTTACTCTTGTTGGAGAGTCAATGAGGAGCCATTCAGC